AAGTTAGTTGTGACCAAAAGAAATAAAGTGTATATTTTAGTTTACATGCTTGTGACTTTAGGATTAACTCTTCCGGTTGCTACTGCTACAATTGAAAGAGTATTTTCTGCTATGAATATTGTGAAGAATCAACTGCATAATTAGATTGAAGAACAATGGATGAATGATAGTTTAGTTGTGTACGTTGAAAAAGATGCATTTAATGAAATTACTAACGAGACTATTATACGGCGTTTTCAAAGGATGAGAAGTCGTAAGGAACAATTGTATAAAAGGATTTACATTTTGAATATTATCTTTATTGTTTAAAATTATTTTTTAGTTATTATGTCTCGCCCCCCTGAAGAATAATCATGGGTCCGTACCTGATTGTTACAGACAATTCATCAACAACTTTGACAAAATATTTATGTAAAACTCATTTCATTTGATCCTAGAAACCACACCTTTATTTCTTACAAGTCATTGTTGAGAACTTACAGAAGTATTGAAAAGTGTCGAGTCTAGTTTAACTAAACACCCCGTTCTTAGTTTCGCAATTCAATTTCTTACTAAATTATAAATAAAAATATCAACTTGACCTTAGTTCAAATACACATAAAATATGATTGCTTCTGATTCTCCCTTTGCGTGCCTACCATGTTATTCAACGAGGTAGGGGGCCGCAAGAGAGTATAGATTTCGCGAGGCATGCGTAGCTGATCATGGGAAGACTGGGGATAGAGTGAGGGAGCATAGCCATTAGGTAGGCAATGAAAAGGGATTGAACGTAAAGTGGATGCGCCATCGCGGTGGGAGGGGCAAGCACCGTATCTGATGGAGTTGGCTGGTAGTACGGTGGTGAATCAGATGAGCATAGTAATCGTTTTCAGTGAAAACAGGTCGATCTCGAAAGCCCATTTAATTAGGAAAGGCTCAATCATTCGGTGAACCTTATCCATCACATATTTTTATTTATTTATAATTTAAACTATTTACAAACACTTCTTAAATAGAGGAAATACCTGCAAATGGCTCAAAGAAAATACCATAATTCCTATTTGACATTTGACTAGTAAATATGTTTAAAAAAAAAAAAAAAAGCTTAAAGTATAAATTTGTACAAGTAAAAATCAAAAAACATCCCCACTCTCTCCCTCTTCACAAAAAAACCAACCCTCCTTTTTTTTTTTATTATTAATCCGGCTCACAGTCGGCCCGCCTTTAATAGCTGGCCCACCTTTTTTATTATTAAACCGGCTATTGGGTTGGTACATAGGCCAGCCAACTGGCCGACATTTTTTGTTTTTATGATTATTGTGTAATTAAATAATATTTGTATTCTTTAAGTTTAAAAATTTTCTTTTATTCTAATTTTTATATAA